TAAGCTTAGTCTTAATCTCGAGAAGAGTCGTAATCTCCTTGGTCGGGATTACCGCTGCAGCGATTACTTCCTTCGTGAAGTAAGAGCTTTGATTAACTTAATCTGTCAACCGGATCTGATCTGTGGCGGTCCACGGATATTAACGTCCCCGGCATAGGCGAAGTTCGCACGCAAACAACGGGTGATAAACGTCTATTGCGCTGTTTGACAAGAGTTGTACTATTTTATATTTTCATTATATAAGTCGGTTTTATAAAAAAAAAAATCTATTTTTCTCGTTTATTTGAGTTTATTGTAACGACCAAAGTTGTAATAGATTCGATGACAATGAAAACATCAACTTTTGATCCAAAAATATACATTAAATATCATGGATCATCCCTCCTGAATACGTTCTCACGGACTAGTATGCAAGAACTCCAAACTATCATTTCGTTGTTGAGGTTTTATTTGCCGTTTTAGTTTACTGTTATAATATAGAAGACTCATTTTCTTTCATCAAATAGTTTTATCTTGGTTCTATCGCCCATAAGTTTGTTACGGAAAACATAAACCTTTCTTTTTGAATTTTCACAAGCGGCGACAATGAGATTTTGGTTAATACCAAAACGAGTGACAATATTGTGCCTGACAATCTAAAAATTGTTTTACAATACGATGACCATTAACAATAAAATGGAGGGAAACTAACTAGGGATAATCGAAAGGATTAAAAGTATTATGGTGTTGGATTTGTGAAGATACTTGTATGGCTTTTGCAATTTAAACTTTTAATTGACGGATGCAGTAAACTGATTAAGCTAATTAAATACACGTATGAATGAATGCAATTAGTAAGATTTGTGAAGTTCACATTAATTATGAATTTATCGATGTGCTTAGAAGTTAATAGTTATTATATAAAAATAGCCATCGAGTATATACATGACCAACTAAATTTAGCTAGGCTCTAATGCCTCGTTTGGTACGCAAGAATGAGATAGAATGGAATAATCATTCCTACTTCTTATTCCCTCATACCAAACATAACTGTTTTTTAGAAGTTGGAATGTCAATTTCCACGGAGTGCGCATTCCCACTTTTCGTGGGAATGAGCATTCCAAGTGAATTAATGAGGAATGGTCATTCTCAGTCAAGTGAGAATCAAATTAGTTACGTAATTTTCAATTACATCCCCATTGATAATAAAAATAAGTCTAAAAATCATGTCTCATTGAGCGACATAATCATATTAATAACATGGATATGTATGAACAATTGATTAAGATGTTTTTTCTTAGGCTTGGATATATAGGGAAATTGATTCTAGGATAGAAACACGAAATATTAACTATTTTTATAAAGTTTAATTTTAAAAATAAAATTGTTTAGTTATTATCATTACTGTTTATTTTTATCTTTTTAAAAATCTATGTCGTTATAGGGGCAATATTAGAAAATAAGATTTAATTCTCACTTGTAAACTAATGGTACCAAACATGAGAATGAAAGATATTTTCATTCTAGCTTCATTCTACAAACGCACCGAAATAAGAGAATGAATATGGGCATTCCATTCCTACATATATTCCATTCTATTTCATTCCTTATTCCATGTTATTCTCATTTGAGTCCATTTCTACGTACCAAACAAGGCGTAAATATTTATCCTTTGGAATTAAAATGCATGATAATGCTTGGAATAACTGCATTCTTTCTAATTACCACTTAATTGAAAATGATATGAATCGTTTTTTTAGTGTTCAATAGAGTTCCTGGTAAAGGGGATAGAGTTAGAGGTCTCTCTCGTGACATTGTCACCCCTTCCAAATGGCATTCTGCTTGGTATCCCTCTGCTCCAGATTTGGTGAAGCTCAACACAGATGTTGTTGTTCCTCTGAAATGAGATATTATTGATTTGGGAGGTGTTATTCGGGATCACCATGGACATGTGATTGGTTGCTACTCTATAGGGATCAGGGGTCCTATGTCTGTGGATCATGCGGAGCTGTTGGTTATCCTGGAAGGCATTCGCTTTGTTCGGCGTATGAACTAGAGGATTTTGGTGGTGGAAATTGACTCTCTAAAGATTGTCTCTTTGGTGGACTCTCATTCACCTTTTGCTTCCTTGGCTCCTATTGCAGATGATGTTCGCACTGGTCTGACTATTACTGGCTGCTCTAAAATTTCTTAAGGCGCACTGGTAATGATGATGCTCATTCCCTAACTAAGTCGGTTGACTGTTTGTTCTCTTGTTTTTGGTCTGTTTCTATCCCTTTGTTTTTGAGACAATGTGTTGTTTAGGACTTGGTTGGTTAGGTTACCCTACCTGCCTTTAAAAAAAATACTTCATTTGAATTCCAAAGTACGATTTCTTTTCCAAAAAACTGAGGTGACAACAAATATTAATTGAATAAAAAATGTTCTTTTTCTATAACAATAATGTACAAATCCTGAGTCAACCCAACAAACGGGACAACATTAAGAAATCTCTAATTAACATATCTATACAAATTCATGCGCATTATGTATAGTACTATCCATAAATCTACCCAGTAAACTTGGTGCAGCCGGTAGAACAGAGTCTAATTACTACCTCTCAATCTATATTGAACATTTATGTAGTTTATCCAAGCTCAATATCCGCTCATTTTAATTGTGATTTACTATCAGATTGCGTGTTAAAATTCGATATATGCTAGTTGATCACTTTTGAGGGAACATCCTAATTGATTATTGAGAGATGCTTAAAAAATAAAAGAATAGAAAATAAAAAAAAAAGGAATCATCATATACCTAAACGTCTACTTCTGTCAGCTGAGAAAGAATTTAATTAACTATCATACACGTCTCTTGCTGGTCAGTTATGTACACCAGTATAACTCCGTTAATTAATTGTTAATACATCTTGTTGACTAACATTTTTAATCCCAAAGATATGTGATTCTCAGTGTACTTATTTAAAATTCGTTCGTTTCTCCTTCATGTAATTTATTTGCATTTAGACTAAGGGCATGTTTGGATTCGTAGGGGGTGAAGGGAAGTTAAGGGAAACTGAGTGAAGGGAAGGGAAGGGAAGGGAAGGGAATTCACTTCCCCTTGGTTACACCCCAATTTAGGAGGTAACAATTTTTATACTATTAGGGGGTGAACCAAGGTGAATGGAGGTGAATTAACTTCACCTACTAAGTGTTCCCAAACAAGGTGAATGGAGGTGAATGGTTCCCCTAACTTCCCTTCACCCTCATTCCCCTCAATCCAAACAAGCCCTAAGAGCGTTATCCTTGCATTTCAAATTCCAAAATCTCAAATCACTCATGCAGCTTACTTCTTTTTTTTTTAACAATTCTGCTTTTAGCTTTTGACTCCTGATTTTAGCCAAGTGCCAATTCCATTTCCCAAATTTTTACTTATACCATCCAGATGCATCAAAGTCTCTTAAGAAATTGATCAAAATAAGTGCTCAGCACAAATAAAATTCATTAAACCGAATATATGCTTCTTTTACTGTATTTATAATTTCTTAATGTTGTGTTACTTTTAGGTCTTTTGTGTTAGCGATCATAAGACTGGTCTAAAGATTGTCATTTTCTTATGTGTCAATTAAATAAGTTTATTTACCTGAAAGAAATCATTTCTTTTTATTTGAGTGATAAGTGATAGATGTCTTCCTATTGTTAGCCATCGTAATCTTTCATATATAAATAGAGCACACAATTGAGAACTACTAGATTTTGGTCATCCTTTTCGATAAGATTCGATCTTATTATTCAAATTTAATGGTAAAGCAAATATAAATAAGAATAAAAAGTGAAATCAATATAGTAATTTGTTGAGATTATTAATATGTGAGCACATTCTCATATTGGATAGCATTAGAAAAAATTAATGGATTTAAAATAAGAATTGGGGTCAATACCTAAAAAATATAGTTTTGAGGTTAAAATTGAATTCTAGCTTCTATCTAAGACCAATTAACTCTAGCTTTGGTGCAATTTCTCTCAACAAATGTGAAGGTTGAATTTACAGCAAGTCGACCTAAGGGTATACCAAGTCAAGTTGACTTAGATGCTCAACGGATACTCGTAGGAGTGATGTAGTTTGGTTAGCCCACAAGAAAAGTGGTGCAAGATTTGTTGGGGATTCGAAACAATCAATCGAACCTTTACCCTTCCGGACCTTGTGTTAAAAGTAGGAAAGTAGGAAATCCACCACAAATTAGATCAAAACTTGTAAAAGAGTAAAGGAGATGAACACACCAGATTTAACGAGGTTCGGCAAACGTGCCTACGTACTCGGGAACCACACCACACAATTCTTTTATTAATTAAAGAAGAAATACAAGCTCTCAAATTAGGGTTTTATCTCTCTGAGATTCTCTCTCTTTTCTACAGTTAAAAAGCTCTCTTTTTCGTGTTCTATCAAGCCCTAAAAACGTTTAGGTATATATAGAGTTCTGAAAGAAACAGAATCCAAAACAGATAATAAAACTGGTTGACTACGTCCGCGGTTCGACCGCTCAGGTATCACGCGTCGACCGCGGCGGTCACGTATCAAACGACAGAGACCCAAAAAAACACCTACAGGGTACCAACGGTCGAAACCGACGGCGCGTCGAACCAAAACCCGAGACCAAAATCCATTACAGAGATTTGTGCGGTCGATCGTCGCGGTCGACCGCCTTCAGCTCCAGGCTCTACTCAGCTCTGTGCACGTTCGCGGTCGACCGCCGCGGTCGACCGTGCAGGCCTCCTCCTGTTTTCTCGATTTTTTCTTCGTCTTCTTGATTCCAGCTTCAGTTTCGACTTTGGGTCTACACTTTAGACTAACAAGATTCTACAGATATTTCTAGTCATGTGCCAAATGCATGGTTCGTTAGCCCACAAGTGAAGTGATTCACAAAATTAGTGAATGATGTGAAAGATTGAAGTATATTTACAAATTAAGGGGGAGATGTTGAGGTTATTAATATGTGTGTATAATCCCACATTGGATAGGATTAGAAAGAGTGATGGAATTAAATAAGAGTTCCACATTGAATAGGATTAAAAAAAAGGGGGTAGATTTAAAATAGGGGTTTGGACTAATACATGGAAGCTGTAGCTTTTGGGTTAAAATTGGTTCTAATTAGATTGTTTTCACCCTATAAAAACAATATTAATACAAATCCATGAATCAACTCAATGACCAAAAAAAAACATCAAAAGGTCTTTAACACCGTCCACACAAAATCACGTACAAAACGTATATAGAGTCTCCTATATCTTGGCAAACAGAGCACCGAGCACAAGCACCAGAAATAAAGCTGGGGAGAGCTTCACGGCCGAATTAGGCAGCACAAACGGGCGTTGCCCTTGGTTGACTCCTGCTGGACCGTCCGCCGATGGAGATGTAGGCAGCTCGGTCTCTGCTGGAGGTGCCGCCGGTGGCACAGAGTCTAATCCTCCTCCAGCTGTATTAAACATTTTGTGGAATACGTGTGAGCTCCATGTACTAAATAAGCTACTCCACTATGCCATTGACAAGTTAGATTTCGTTATACAATTCATGAGAATGGATCCCACACGATGTGTGTATGTAGTATCGAAATACAACAAAATTTTGAGGGGGAAAAAATCTATATGAGCTCATTGTGCTAAATAAGCCATAAATAGGTATTAGTGGAAAAAATGCACATGGCTAGCCACATCAGAACAAATGCTATAGTATTGTTCATTTTGTCCTATAAAGTGAACAACTCTTAATCCAATTTTTTTTTTTCTTGAACTAAGATTTACGGGACTAAACATGAGACAAAATATCATGTGCATTAATGGTTAATTGAAATACCTCGTCGATTTGTTCCTTGATCGATTAAATCTACTCCTCTAAACTTAAAGGAGAATTCCAAAAATTATTGTTCATATTAAAGTATTTTAAATCAAATATGGCCCTCTGATTTCTGCACTAGAACTTACTATTCATATTATAGTAATTTACAGTTGCATAAACGGTAAATCAAATTTGCTTCTCCATACTTGAAGTTAATGCTTTAGTAATTTACTATATCATAAACGGTAAAGTAAATTAAATCTATTAAAACTTGGACCATTCTTTAAGTACAGAGGAGTGAATATGATATCTTAATCAAATGTATTAAAACTTGAATTCTTCTTTTAAGTATAGAGGAGTAGATATGATTTTTAATTTTAAACATACAATAATTAAATCAAATATACTAAACTTAAAGGGAGGCAAGTTCAAAATGTAATACTTAAAAAAATAGGAGGTCATGTTTTACACGAGATGCACACTAGTATTTTTGAATATTAAAATCGAAGTACTTACATGTTGGAGGAAGAGGAGGAAGACCGGGCGCATAAGCAATAGGTCCGGGACCTGGAACAGGAGTCGCAGTTGCTGCAACCAAATAATTAAAATCTTTTATACATAACCGAAACTAGATACATAAAAATTCATTAATACACGCCAACTTCCACGAATCTGTACGACGATGGACTGAACAATACAAACCTTTGCACTGCAGAGGAACAGACGTAGAGCCGCAAATCCGAGGAAGGTTGATAGCTAAGGTCCTGTTAATTGGGAGGGTTAAAGGGACGCTTCCCGTGAGCATTAAACAAGCGCAATCTGTGCTGCTGCTGATAAGCGAGCCGAGAGCTTGGCAGCAGCCAGCGGTCGGAGATCCACCTCCGTTAGTGCTCCCAGTGAGGAAATTCAAGCACGGAGTGAAACTGCTGATCAATGAGCTCGTGCACGCCGATGTCACCTGAGCCGATGCCAAATTCATCGACATTGCCATAGCCATGATCGCCATGGAGATCGCCTTGGTTGAGACCTTGCTGGTCTTCATTTTTTGTGTTTGATTTGGTCGTGGAATAATTTGTAGCATGGGAATTAATGATGGCGAACATGAGAATTAGGAGGATTTTATACTTGAGGAGTAGGTCGGAAGTTGGTGTTGGAGATGAACTAACCTCATCTAACGATGATCGTAGCCAATTTGTTAAAGTTATGAAGAAAACGCCAGGGAGAATGTCAAAGCATAAACTGATAAACTGGTTAACGACTTAATTGGCTGGTTAAGGTTCCATAATTTTGAATTGACAATTAATTAGAGCAAAGTATGGTGTTTTATTAGTTGATCATTTTTGACTTCGGATCTTTATATCTAGGGTAAAAGTACAGAATATAATTCTAATTCTATGCTGCTATAAATGATTGAATAATGACTCCCTCAAAAGTTAAATGGCGTGTATAATAGGATTTTTAATTCAAATTTAACAGTTGACACCAGATTTAGATTATAAATAATATTGACGCGTAAAATTAATTCTTGATTCTTTTATGCAAAAATCCATACCAAAGAATTGTGAATTTAGCCTTCGAGTTTATTACGCATTTATCAGTTACTGTTGCCTAATCACTGGAGGGATAAGGCCCAGGCCATTGAGAATATGGAGATTTTAAGGCCCAATTTCAGCCCAATATCCCGATACAACCGAAAACATCTCGCCATCGGGTCGGGTTGGTTTGTGATGGGCAGCGCCTCCAGAATCGCCAACGCCATCACAAACGCAAGCTCGCTGTTCCTCTGTTCTAAGAGCTCTCTTTTTTCTTTTCATTTCTTTTATTTTTTTTTCTTTTTTTGATCTCCTTTCTTCTTTCCAAAAGAAAGTCTCTGAGCATTTTACTATTAATGTCCCGAGAAACACTAAAAAATCTTCAAATCCACTCTACACAAAGGTACAATCTCCATATATCCCCCCACCCTTTATTTTCTAATAATATATTTAAATAGGAAGCAAATGCGCTAAATTTCTATTTATAATCGGTACCTGTTTAATTATTTTGTGATATCCTGTAAATATTGCGACTAATTTATGAAATTGACGTTGATTCGTTGGACTTTTTAGTGTTATTTAGTGGTGGGTTTTGCTTCAAACCCTTGTTTTTTGCCGTTGGGAATAGAGCACGTTTGTTTGCGTGATGCAAATTGTGAGTTAATCAATTGGATGTTTACATGATGCAATTTTAGGCCTCAATCTCTCAGAGCCTTTGACTGAATGATAAATTCATATCAAAATTTCGCCTTTTTTCGGTGACATGGATAACTTTTCTTCCCAATTTTCTTATGCGTAAAAAAAATAAAGAGCTGTGGAGCAGTGTAGCTAACGGTCTTCTACTTACAGCTTGGCGCTGTTCGCAATTCCTCGTATTTTTTAATAATGTTTGTTTCATAATCGAGGGCTTTTCTATGTAGATAGTGGATTGACCTAGTCTTTACAAAATCGATCGCTAAGGGCATCTCCAACCATGCCCCATTTCCCGCGCCATTTTGGTGCAACGGGACTATTCCTTCTCCAACCATACCCCATTTCCCTCGTCATTTTGGTGAAAAGGAACAGTGCGACACCAAATATGGTGTCGCACTGTTATCGCGCTATTACTGTTCATCATGCCATTATTTACCGTATTTTATTTTCTGTTGTGTTCTTAAATTTAATATTTTATCGATATCAATAATAAAAATAATAAAATAATATTTTATAATTTTACCCCAATAATCTTAATTAATAAAATAATATTTTATTGTAATATTTTATTTTCTGTTGTGTTCTTATAATATTTGATTGTAGATAAAAAGGAATATACTGAGAATATTCTTTTTTTAATGCAAAAAATGGTGCAATAGGTTGGAAATAAATTACTGTTTGATGTGACTTTTGCACCATTTGGTGTAAAATTTGCACCATTTTGGTGCGATGGGTTAGAGATGGCCTAAAAAGTCGTGTTTGGTAAGTGCTTTCCGTATTGGCCAATTCTACAATAAGTTTCAGGCAGTCATCAAATCTTGCCTGTGAATGGGAGGAATCGTCAGCTTCATGAAATCTGTGAGGATGTTGGATGAAGGAAAAGAAGAAAGGCAAGAAGATTGTAGCAGTCGGGGGCTTCACATAAATAGAAGATGTCTATACAAGTGGATAATATCACAATATTATGTAAATATAGTAGAGACGAAGAGAACTGCACACAATGATTTATTGTGGTTGGATCAGTATGATCTACATCCACGGACGAAGACAACAGAAGAATACACTAATCCAAAAAGAGATTACAAAAATGATCACTCTCTCATCTCATTTAAATCCCACTAGAGAATCATATAACGAAAGAATTACTTAGTAATCCCCCCTAACTCCTTTCTTTCTTTTTCTATCTGAGGCATGTCTTTCACCATGCATCTTGAGTCAATTTACAGCCTTTAATTTCCCACGACATGGTTGGTGAAATAGTAAAGTTACATCAGTGAATAGATGAGCTAAGATGTTAGGTGAGTCAACCTACACATGATTCATGTGTAAAGAGGAGAACTTAGATTTATTTTCTCTTTCTCATATGCAAAGTCACATTCAACAAATCTCCACCTTAATTTTGAATATGAAGATCTCCTCTTCACTCCTGTTGTCTCGCCAGAAGCCCCTTATGGGCTTAACCTCCAATTTGTCGAACTCCAGGCAATTCGAAACAATGCTCGAACTTACGTGAAAATAAGGCTCCGTCATCATATCTGTCAGGTTATCTACAATACCAATTTTCTTAATCTTCATGACATTAATTTCTCTGATAAAATGATACTTGACATTAATATGTTTGATTCTTTCATGATACATCTGATGCTTTGTCAAATGTATTACACTCTGACTATCACAAAACATCGTAATTACACCTTGGTATAACCTCTCAATTAAATAGCTTCTTTCATTGCTTTTGTCACTATCATATACTCTGCATCTGTAGTAGACAAAGCAACTGTCGACTGTAGAGTCTCCTTTCAACTAATGCGTTGGTTGAAAGAGTGAATACATAACCTGTTAGGGATCATCACTTATCTAAATTGCGCGCATAATCTGAATCAGAAAAACTATGTAGTCTGCAATTTGAATTTTTGTTCATGCTAAAATATAAATTAATATTAACAGACCCTCTTAAATATCTAAGTTTTCATTTTACAGATTGCCAATGGATTTGCAGATTTATCACCTCAGACTGAAGAAGAAAAGCAGTACATGTTTTGTGTTCCTTATGTCAGTGCAGTAGAAAACATTTGTATGCTATAATCTGCACCCGTCTAGATCTTTCACATGTTATTTGTTGAATGTGACTTTGCATATGAAGAGGAGAAAATAAATCTGAGTTCTTCTCCTTACACATGAAGCACGTGTAAGTTGACTCACATAACATCTTAGCCCATCTATCCAATGATGTAAACCATACCGTGGGAAATTAAAGGCTATAAATTGCTTCAGGATGCATGGTGAAAGACGTGCCTTAGACAAAAAAAAAGAGAGGAGTTAGAGAGAAAAGAAAGAGAGAGAGTTATTAAGTAGTTCTTTCTTTTTGTGATTCTCTAGTGGGATTTAAGTGAGATGAGAGATTGATCCCTTTTGTAATTTCGTTTTTGATTAGTGAATTCTTCTGATGTCTTCGCTCATTAATGTAGGTCATACTGACCGAATCGCGTTAAATCATTATGTGACGTTCTCCTTGTCTCTACTGTGTTTGCATAGTGTTGTGATATTATCCATTTTGTACAGTATCTTTTGTGTCTGTGAAACCCCCTACTGCAACAAAGATAAGCATGCCACTACACTTGGTTAAAAAGAGTTTACTTTTTCAAGCATCTCAATTTGAGAGTTTGCTTCAGATATCATTTATTTGGTTAGCTGTAGAGTTCAAATGGTCACATTTGGAAATTTATGTTATTTTTAATAACCTTCCCGTCTTGTTTGTGTGTTGGTGTACACACTGAAAGCTCTTGTGACTATCCTGATTATTATTTAACTCAAAGCCCTGTAAGAAAGTCATTTGTAATAACCTTCCCGTGTTGTTTGTGTTGGTGTACACACTCAAAGCTCTTGTGGATTTTTCCTTCATCTTAATGTTTTCTATTTTTGCTGAACCACTCCTGTGCACTTCTTTACCCTTTATCCATCTAACTTTTCTAAAATGATCATGGCTATGCTATTGCATTTGACTATGAAAAGAAACTTTTGAACTATGGAGGTAAGAGTTCCAACTCAATTTCTAATATTATGTTGCTGACATCATTCTAATTACTTTAAGCAAGTGCTATGTATGTTTAACCCATCTTGTATTCTAATTTATTTCGTGGAGTATGTTATTAAATTTCCGAATGAAACATGACCTCTTTCGATCATGATGAGTTGATATTTTGACCTTTAGGTCCATGCTCATGGCTACATGTAGAGTTCCATGACATGGCATATTATTGTGAGTAGATTTTATTTTTGTTGATTGGTATGCAAGTTCTATAGAGTTTAGTCGACTTTTAAACTTAATGTCTTAGAAATTTGTTTATATTCCGTTTGTGGTCATGTTGTTAGTTTATCATGTACGATGAACTCCCCCCAAATACAAATAATAGACTTTTTTGCTACACGCAAATGACATGCAACTTAAAACTATTGGAATGCCTTTAGAGAGACGTGTAGCTAGTAGTTGTAACTTCACCCATAATGAACACTTTGGTGAAATGTCAGTATTTTTTAAGGTCCTATATCTAGCTTGCCTATTTATAGTAGTAGAGATATAAATCAATTTAGTGCAACTCCATTTCATTTCAGAATAGTAGTGACTATCTGGTCAGTCATGCTATTTAGAAACACAATGTGTTTATGTATACTCCCAGGAGGAATTTTAATAGTGTACCTTTTATGGGTTTTCATTTTTTCTGATTCTAATTTTTCCGGACCAATGTTTTCTTATTGATTTTTTTGAAGTTTCTCATTGAATTCACCAGAAGTTTTCCTATTGATGTTTGTTATGTTTCCTTTGAATTTTCAACGGCAAATGTGTTTCCTAACTTGTTTAGCATGTTGCAATATGCTTTTGTAATGGATGAAACCAGTTCCTCATGTCTAACATTTGGAAGCGTGCTATCAAGTCTAACTTATTTCTGCAAAAAATTGGCACAGTGAACTGGGCTTCCCCACTCTTATTCATGTGCTGAGAAGGAAATTTTATGGTTATAATCTTAACATCACAACAGTTTTCTTCTTTTTACTTTTTAAGTTCTGTAAACTTACAGCTATATGCATGGGGCCTTTAACCTCAACTAATCTTTGTCACCATGACTGCTTAAAGTGTTTAGACTTCCCCTCACTCCTACTTCAGCTGCTAGATTCCTTTTCTTTTTATTCATCGCCTTAATCAGATCCCCTGGGTATATGAATCATCATGTTAATATGTCATTTATCATGTCTTTTTTTTTTCGAACTGCTCACTAACATATTGAGCATCATATGTCTCATTTCAGGATGTTCTCTTCTGTAAGACCACTTGAAATTCACTTTGGAAAAAGTATTCTGAATGACAAATAACATAATGTGTGGCCTTATAGAAGGAATCCCCGTTGCAGTTGCTCTCCAATGCCTTGCTCGTGTTCCCTTCTGCTAGCACACTCACCTTCAGCTCGTCTCTTGATCATGGAAATCAGCCCTTCGCAGCCGTGAGCTCTTCAAGGCTTGATGCGAAGGTGGTGCAACTGAAGATCTCCTCTGTGTCCTAGCTTTCGATCCTGGAAAGATATGGCAACTCTATGACCTTCTCAGAGATCATTGGCTCACTCTTCCCATAATGCCTTCAAACATTTGCCTTCTTGCTTGATTCGGTGAGGCCTCGGTTGGAGGAAAGCTCTTTGTACGTGGTGGCAAAAGTGATAGAGTTGACCCTCTCACCGGGGATTTTTGTGACAACTGTGGTGTGGTCATATGATCCTATAACTAGAGAGTGGGCCCGTAGGGCAAATATGCATGTGCCTCGTGCAATGTTTGCTTGTTGTGCGATTGATGGCAGGATTATTGTAGCTGGTGGGTTTACAAGCTTTCGTAGGTCAATATCAAATGCAGAGATTTATGATCCCCGGGTCAGATACTTGGTCTCCTTTACCCGATCTTTGTCAAATTCACACTTCAGCTTGTTCTGGCATTGTTATTCAAGGAAAAATGCATGTAATGCACAAGGGTTTATCGACCGTACAAATATTAGAGGACCGTGCCCGTGGTTGGTTGTAGAGGACTATGGATGGCTTCAAGGCCCTGTGGCAGTGATTGATGGTGATCCTTATGTCTTAAATGGTGGGTATATGTTAAAACAGCAGAAGGAGAGCTTGATGATGGATAAGGTTTTGTTGCCGAGATCAGAGTTTAAGAGAATTGGGTTTGGGATGATTGGGCTTAGAGATGAGATTTATGTAATTGGAGGAGTTCTTGGGCCTGGCACAACGAATCAGTCGATCAAGCGGTTGCGAGATGTTGATGTGCTGCACTTTTGGTCGAGGGCTGGGTGGAGGCTGGCTGCGGCGATGACTAAGTGCTGTGGGAGTATTTATGTGATTGTTGGTCACCCTTCTGCTCTTTTGATTTCATATTGAACTGTGTAAAGAGCTTAGACAGCAGGTGTTTTTTTTTTTTTTGTCGTCTCCGAAGGGGGTGATGATGCGGAACAAGAGTAATATTACGTGATACCCTTAATTTATGCAGGTCTGAAACTGAGAAAAATACTGATTTCTGGCATTTTCTCGAGTTTGATGAGCAATCCCTGAATACTGATCAGTGAAGCTTCTTAAGAGGGTTATAGAGTTGTAGTTGATGAAATTTTGGGAGTTTGGTTATTGAGGTTATAGTAGCTAATCATCATCAATTAACATTTCAAAGTTCACGCGCAGGTCTGATAATGTTTCTGCCTAAAATTTTTGTAATATCGAAATCCCTTACTTGACTCAGCCGAAGGTAAAATTCATTAATGATATAATGCGTGGTGAAGGATCAGGAGTTCAAAGAAGAAACCCATTGAAGTAAAAGCATAAACTCCATTTGGATCTGTAACTAAATCAATTAGCTTCAAAGTTCCTCCATATAGATGGTTCAATAGTCAACAACATCCCAAACCTAAACTGCAGCAGCATATTTTTCAATAACCCAATCTGGAATCGAACCAAGACCATGAAAGTCATATTGAAACCTTCCAATCGTTCAGATCACCTGTAATGAATTGGAGCCCAGCATCCTAATAAAACCTAAAACTTAACAGCATGATCGCAATTGACCCGTTTGTATTCATCATCGGGTTGGCTTCAAACACTAACGGGACGGGATGTCTATTTTTGTCTTTGTTTTAAGGGCCAAGTGTTATTGGAGTTAACATATTTATGTTTATATCCTAGAACCTAAGTGTTCGGTTGTAGGATCCCATCTCGCGGACATGCCCGTGCCTCATGAAATGTTTGCATGTTGCACAGTAGATGGAAAGATTACTGTCGCAGGGGCGTACACTTTCACTCTTCAATCAGAAAGTGAGGTAGGGACTACGAGCTTTCGTAGGTCAACCTCAAAGGCAGAGGTTTATGATCCTCATCAGATACTTGGTGTCCTCCGCTCAATCTATGCGAAAGACATCCTTCACCATGCTTTGCTTTTGTGACTCGAGGGAAAATGCACGTCATGTATGAGGGTTTATCAACTGTACAAATATTGCAGGGTGGCGGTTGTGGTTGGTTTTGTAGATGATTATGTTTGGCTTCAGGGTCCTATATATAGTTGTGATTGATGGTGATCCTTATGGTTCGAATCCTGGGTATGTACTAAAACAGCAGAAGGAGAGCTTGATGATGGATAGGGTTTTGTTGCCTAGATCAGAGTTTACGCGCGCGAAGAACTGGGTGTGGGGTGATTGGGCTCATGGATGAGATTTTTGTTACTGGAGGAGTTCTTGTTCCTAGAGGAAGTTTTGGTCCTGGCCCCACGAATCAGTCGATCGAGAGATCACGAGAGGTTTATATGTTGCGTGTTAAATCAAGGCCAAGTTGGAGGCGGGCTGCGACGATGACAAAGTGCTGTGGGAGCATTTTAGGGTGTGCTGTGCTGAGGATATGGAGGAATTGTTTGTTGTTGTGTTTTTCCGCTCGTTTGATTTCATGTTGAACTGTGTGGAGAGTTGAGAGAGGAGGTGAGGGTATGTGATTCAGAACAAGAGTAATAATCATGCGACCCTTATTTTATACAGTTTTAAGCTTAGGAAAATACTGATCTCTGGCATTCTCTCTTGAGTTTGACGAGTGAAGCTGCTCATTAAAAGGTTAAGTTGTTGAAGTTTGAAATCTTTCGTCGAGGTTATCATTGCTCATCATCATCATTATCATCATCATCATCCAATAAACACTTCAAACACAGATTTGAGAAATGTTTCTACCTGAAATTTTTGTAGTAAGTGAAATCCCTATTTGACTCATAAAGCCAAGGTAATGTTCTTCAACGTACTATAGACTGTGATGCTTTCTTAACTGAATTCAGAAGTCAGAAATTTAAGTTCGAGAAGAACGCCACTTAAGTAATTTAAAAAAAAAATAACAGACAGCTTTGTAAATTAACTAAATCAATTAACTGCACCAAGTTTGATCCAATAATGTTGAGCACAAACAGATACATTTCAGCTCATACGAGAGAGGCCTCACAATATTGCAAATGCCTACAAAGGTTCTCTCTCATGGCTTGGCCAGAAGAATCAACTTGCTGACACATTTGCTCCTTGTAACCAGCATCATGGTGATTTGTGAGGGCAACATCATGGTTCAATTTGTCTCCATTATCGATAATAATATTGTGAAGGAGGCAACAAACGAGGATAATACTCGGTAACTTGTGCTTATCAGGTCTCCACATTACTTTGTGCAATATCCTCCAAGCACCCTTTAGTTGCAAAAGTGCCTTCAAAGCAAGCAACCTTACTTCTTTATGCTTCAAATTGAAGCTCACCATGGATTCTGAAAGACTTTTACCCTCATAGGGAGTCATAAGCCAAGGAAGAAGAGGATAAGAAGAATCCCCCACAATGAATTCTCTGATCTCCTCTCTTTCTTCAGTCATCTTGACAAGTCTATTCAACCGTTTCCCACTCTCACAGAGCTTGTAGAATCCCGAGAATTTCAATAAGCGGGCATAAGTCATGCTCCCAGGCCAACCAGTCACTATATCAAGAAACCTCATCTCGTGATCAACTATCCCTTGAAGGAACATACTGTAGTTTCTCTCTTGATCACACCAATCATCTGATGATTCAACTGCAGGAAGTGTCATTATGATATGTGTTGCATCAATAGCACCACAGCAGTTAGGTAGGCCAAATGTTGCTTCGAGGCTGGCTTTGATTTCCTCCAATCTTTCAGGCTCAGGCCACTTCATGTGGTGTCTTGCTCGATCTTCCATTGATTCAACAAATCTCCAAGTCACTTGAGATACTGTGGATTGCCCAACGCCAAAAGCTCCTCCAACAGACACCTGCGACTCACCAGATGCTAATCTTCTCATGGCAATGGCAACTTGTTTCTCGACGCTCAGAAGTCTTCCTTCGATGTTTATGAGACCTGAAGGAGGCCTTGATACTAGGTCCTCCCTCACTAGGGAGCAAATGTACTCAAAGGTATTTTTGGATACCCTGAAAAAGCATTTGAACGCTGCTTCTTCTTCAAGAGGAATAGTTGGCCCTGAGGTATTATAAATGAGTCAGGTTCTATATAGCTATCACATGAAAGCATGTGTGGCATTCAATGGGAACAATTTTAACATTTGAAGAAGGTTTAAGGTTCTATTTCCATCATAGCTGAAATGAAAATTGATAGACGCAGGCATTAAAATGCCCCTCAACTGCAAAAGTTTAGCTACGTGGATCCTCTTGATGACAGATATAAGTTTAACCAATAAAGATTTGTTGGAAGTAATTTTTACACGTGTAACTTTTATTAAAGTGATCAACTGCTATAAGTAAGTAAATGAAAACTATCTAAGAATTCTCAGCAGCCTGCTCTAACTAAAACGCATGGACTTCACATAGCAAGTGCCAAAAGGCCACTGTACCATATTCAAGAGAACTTCATATTAGTTCCTGAAGTGAGTTTACAGAAATCATCATATCGACATAACAAACAATCTCAAGCAAAATGAACTACAACAAGCTCCAGACAAAATTTTGGCCAAGTTATATGACAGTCTATGAACTGGACTTCAAGCTGTCAACCCCAAATATTGGCGCCAAATTCCTAGTCAAGTTCTATAAGCAAGCTAAGGTCCACACCATAGAACCTCAATGGCAATATGAAAGGTATACAAAGCAAACTTTCCTTCGCATCTGATTTAAACTAATGCAAAGAAAGAGGAAGCCTCCAAATTCGACTATCACGAAAAGGGTCCAGACAAAGCGATAAGGTGGTAAGAGTTGATATAAGAATTTGCATTAGTCTCTCTAAGGCACAAAATTAAGCCCAAAAGCTAATTAGAATCACATTAAGAATCATTGTTGATGCTCATTGAAAAAGTTTCAATATGCTATGGTAACACTGGTTATAGTAGTACAGGTACTAAATAACATGAGTTACAGTATATACACTCTTCATAATAACAATATCATGATGCACTTTAGTATAAATGGTCTGCTCTTTACACCATGGTGTTTATAAGCAAGTTTTGAGCCTGTACTTCAACGTTTTAAACTGGTATTG